GTTCAATTTTCATTACACATATATTAAAGAGAAATATGGAAACAATGCAGAATTATTGTTTACAGATACAGATAGTCTAATGTATGAGATTAAAACAAAAGATTTTTATCTTGATATATTTAATGATGTAAGAGATAAGTTTGATACTTCTGATTATCCTTCCATCCATCCTTCTGGGATAATTACAGGAGCTAATAAAAAAGTGATTGGAATGTTTAAAGACGAAGTTGCAGGAAAACAGATAACACATTTTGTTGGATTGCGTCCCAAACTTTATAGTTTTAAAATTGAGGAGGAAAGGGAAGTAAGAAAGTGTAAAGGAATAAAGAAAAATGTTGTAAAAAAGAAAATAGATTTTGATGATTATAAAGACTGTTTATTCTTGGATAAAAAACAAATGAGATCTATGAAGATAATAAGAAGTGAAATGCATGATATATATTCAAAAGAAGTTAATAAAATAGCTCTGAGTAATGAAGATGATAAAAGAAAGGTTCTTGAAGATAAAGTTAATACTTTAGCTTTTAGATAAAAAAAAATATTTAAAAGGAAATAAAGTATAAATAATAAATGTCTTATAAAGAAGAACAAATAAAAAAATATCTGGGTATACTACATAAATATAAAGTTGAGAGTAAAAAGGTAAAAAGTGGTTGTTTAAATTGTTCAAATACTGAATTTTTTACAATAGATTCTGGTTACAAAATTTGTGATGAATGTGGAACACAAAACGGCCATGTATTAGGATTATTTGATGTAAAAGATTTGGATAGGTTACATTATAGAAAAAAGAGTATTTACCATAGGAAATACCACTATGAGAAAAAGGTAAATGAAATTTCTAAAAGAATAAACCTAAATGATGAAGAAAAATGTGAACTTTATGATAAACTAACAAAAATAGATAATCATATCATGGAAATACTAAACAAGCAATACTTTAGAAAGAGAATGATAAATATTAATTATTTAACCAAAAAAATTTTGGAGGAGATGGGTTGTGAAAAGTATAAACTTATTGAACTTAAGATTAGTTCTATAACTTTAGAGATTTATGAAAAATGGTGGAATTGTTATAAAGGTTTATAGAAATAAATATTTTTAATAAAATGAGTAATAGTGTTGATAAATCACCTAAAATTGTAGCAAAAGAATTGTTTTTAAAAGTTCAAGAAGAAGAAAGTTATTTTTTTCATTGTTTTTTTGAAGCTAATTGTCCAGAAGATGGAATAACTAAAGAAGATTACATGAAAGAATTAAAGAGTGAGTATTTGAAATTAAAAAGTGAAGAAGTAATAAGATTGTTAACTCAATCTATTTGATTAAAAAAAAATAAAATTTAAAGATAATAATTAAATAAATAAAATGGTTTCTAATCATAGTCAAATTTACTCAATAATATTTCAAAAAGAATACTTCCCATGTAACAGATTTGAAATAGGAAATAATACAAAGTTTAGTTGGAAAATAATTTATATTTGAAAAAATATAAAATTTAATCTTTTATATTTGATAGGGAGGGTTTTATTAGAAAAGTATATCTATTTTCAAATACTCTAAAAATATCTAAAAATAAATTTTTTTTACAATACAAATCACTATCAATTTCATCTATATCTAAATTTAAATTATTAATAGTTTGATATATTCCTTCTGTATCAATACTATCATCTTTCATTGCTTCATCCACAAGTTTAGAAGTGTATTCAAATTCTTTTTTATTAAATAAACTTTCTAAAAATGGTTCATATAATTTACTTTTTTCACCTTTTTTGTTTGAATAAATAATATGATTAAAAACAAGATTATTAAGGAATTTTGGTTTTTCTATTTTTATTTCTTCAAAATTATTTATTATATACTCATCATGAAAAAAATCAAATAGTTTTTTTAGTAGTTCTTTAGCAAGACGATCTACATCTTTTTTCTTTATAACTAATTCATCCATTTTGTTTAATGATTATATTAAACCTTTATGAAAACACCAGTAAATTATCCCAGTTAGATAACCAAGTACTTCACATTTTTTGAAAGGTGTGTTTATAGCATATACACACCCTCTTCCAATCCTATAGTGTTTCCAGAAAGCTTTAAAAGCGAGGCTGAATATTAGATGGTTGGTAATGATATTTGAATCAGAATTTAAGTAGTGTCTTGCTTCTGTAAGTTTGTAAATAATTTGGTTTATATCCAATTTTTGTATAAAATACTTTGAATAGAGAAACTGGTATACTAGACAAGCTTTAATATAGTTATCTGGGTAAAGAGGAGTTTTATAAGTTGGAAAGCAAAGATTAACATAATTTACTATTGTACTAATCATTTTCTATTTAATGATTAGAATAAATATAAAGGGGCCGCCAAAACGACGGGGGGTTTGCAACAATTATCTTCTATTTAATGATTAGAATAAAATTGAATTATAGCTTTAAGAATATAAATTTAATATAAAATGACAAACATGATTGAAAAAAGTTTTAAAAATAAAGATTTAGGAATTGAGTTAAAATCATTTATTGATAAACAGCAAAATGTTTGGTTTCTTGGAAAAGATGTAGCTAAAATACTAGGATATCGAGATACTGATAAAGCTATTAGGAGTCATGTTGATAAGGAAGATAAATATAAAGGCCCCGCCAAAACGACGGGGGGTTTACAACAATCATTTTACATAAATGAATCTGGTTTTTACTCACTTTTACTATCTTCTAAATTAGAATCAGCTAAAAAGTTTTAACATTGGATTACATCTCAAGTTCTTCCATATATAAGAAAATATGGATTTTATAAAATGTTTGACAACCCAAATAACAAAATGTTTAAAATAGAAAATGAGACAGATCTTCATTACAAAGTTGTTCAACTAATAAGAAATTATTATCCAGATTCTATATTAGTTGCTGGACTGGGAGAGAATCAAGATACAGAGGAAAAGAGACTAGATTCATATAGGAAAGGATTTCAACGCGGGCAACCAGATATAATGATACTAGATTATCATAAAGATTATAAAGGTTTGTGTATTGAATTCAAATCACCCACAAACTACTACTGCATAACAGAATCACAGATAAAGACTAAAGAAAAATATAAAGATAATGATTACGCATATATTATCAGTAATGATTATGATTATATTAGTAAGAAATTACATAAATATATGAGTGGTGTTCGTATTCTTTGTAAATATTGTCCAAAAGCATTTCGTAACAAAAAAACACTAATTACTCATTTAAAAATATTTCATAGAATTGAAAAATAAATTAAAGAATATATTTTTATTATTAAATGGAAGATGAAATATACAAAAAAGAGCAAAAGCTTATCAAAAAAGGTTTGCAATTCATAGACTCTTTTGAAGGATATTTATATAAGAAACATCCTGATGCTTATGAAAAATATTTAGATTTTAGAAATAAAAGAGATTATCATAAGTCTAAAATATTGAATAATTCTAATAATGTTATAGATTATTTTATTTATTCTTATTACTTTTCACGAATGGGTTATAACTTTAAAAAATATAGTCATAAGGGATTTGATAAATATAAAAAAAATAATGTTTCTAATAAGGTTTATAAAGTATTTGATAGAGATAATATAAATGATGTTTGTGATTTGGTTTGGGTAATAAATGAATTTTATAAAATGCCAAATCAATCGAGATTGAATTTTTTTGATGAGTGTCAAGAGTTTATCATAGAACATATAGTAAAAGATATAGATTAAATATTAATTTAATATAAAATTGAAAAATAATTTAAAGAATATAAATTATTATATAAAATGGAAGACATACTTAAAAAAAGAGAACAAAAGTTAATCAAAGAAGGATTAGGTTTTATAGACTATTTTGAAGAATATAATAGTAAAAATAATCCTGATATTTATAAAAAAATATTTAGATTTTAAGGAGAAAATACTTATCGATAAATCAAGCAAATTGTGGAAATATATGTATTTTTTAGAAAACATTAAAGATGAATATAATAAAAGAAATTTAAACTTTTTAGATTCGTATGATGATATGTTTAAAGAAATGGAAAACTACATAAACACTTATAAACCAAAAGTTTTATTAGATAGAGAAGATCTTGATAAAATAAATGATCTTGTTTATATTATAAATAAAATTAGCAAACTACCAGATCAGTCAAGATTTAATTATTATTTGAAATGTCAAACTTTTTTAAAAATAAAAGAAAATGTTGAAAATATAGTAAAATATTAATTTCAATATTTATCTAAATATTGAAATTATTTTTTATATTTAAATATTAAATTTATTTTTATACTTCTCAACAAAGTTATCAACACCAGATGGAGATTGATCAATTATCATTTCATCCAGAATCTTAATACGATCTACAAACTCTTCTTTATTCCACTCATCTCCTCTAACTGCTGATCTCAGTTCTACTAATACTTTTTCATAAGTAGTATAAGCCATCTTTGATGTTTCTATCTTCTTCTTAAAATCCTTCTTTTTTGTAATTCCAGCCACAATTACTCCTGCTCCGTTTATTACACCAAGAATAACAGGATTGAGTGTCAGCCCTCCTGTGATAGTGCCAACGGCAATAAGAGATAAACTAGAAATAGTAAAAAAATTATCTAGAAATTTGTAACTCTTATAACATTTCTTATAACACCAATGTTTCTTATGGTAATGTTTATAGAGATTAGTAATAGTATTATATTGTTCCTCTGATAAAGATTTATCAATATGATTAAATTCAAAAATACTCTTTCTTTTACTACTATTTCTTTTCATTTATTCTTTACATTACATAACTTCCACTTAACTTTTCTTGAAGCATTACTTTGTGAAATTGCTCAGAGCCGATGTCGTAAAAGTTTGTAGAGTACATTAATCTTAATATCACTCCATCTTCAGTTGTAAACTTCCAACGTTGATTAGCATTGTATTGAACAGCTGGTATAGTTAATGTTGCGCTGTAGTTACTTATTGAAGCTTTTGTGACATTTGCACTAAGATTTTCTGCTAGCCATAAAACAATTATTTTTCCATTAAAACTACTTAGCGTAGTAAAATTTTGAGTTGTTTTGTTGACAGTTAAAGTTACTTTATTATTTGATTTATTATAATCCAATTTTACTAAAATATTATTGTTTGTTGATAAATATTTAGTTAGGGTAAAACTCCTATTTCTCCAATGACTAAAAACAATACATAAAGTAGATTTTGAAGAATGTGAAGGAGAAAAAGTAATATCATAACCATTAATATGTAATCCTTTTTCCGTTATTTCACTTAGGTCTTTATTTGTTGGTAGTGTTATATTAGGTTTCAAAGAATTTATAATAACTCCAAATGAGCCTATATTTATTCCGTAAGTATCCGCATCAGCAAAGTCATAGAAATCACTAAAGTATAATCTATACAAAGCATTTTTAGTGTGAGGAGCTAGTTCTTTTACTAATGCAACTGTTGCAGCACTATTATCATTTTGTCGGTCAAGTTTGATATTTTTAATTTCTTTTTGATTTGCATTAATATCAACATTATACACTACTTCTGTTGGTTTGATATCAAATGCGGTGTGATAGTCGTAAACTTTATCTGGGTCGATATTGCTAAATGTACCCTCAATTCCATAAGCAATGATGTAAACTCCTTTAAACAATGTCGGATACGCACGCAGGTTATATCCACCACGAAGAATATCAACCAAAATGTGAAGAAAGAACCTATTTCCAGATGACAACTTCCGGAAATTAATTATTATTCTGTGGTAGTACATAGTTTGTGTTTTCCCTGTTGAATCAGTATACCTATGGGAAAGTTTTTTTACAATTACATTTCCAATTGATAATCCTTTTGAAGTTCCTTTGTCAACACTTATTTGTGTATTATTCCAAAGATTATAATCAGTGTTGAGTATTTCCAAACACAACGTGTAATCAGTATTTGCAGTTAGTCTGTAAAAATTAATTCCCATCTTATACTTATATTTTTGTAAAAATCCATTCTTTGCTATAGTCGCGTAAATTACTTTGTGATTATAGTCGTGAAAGTTTCCTTTGTTTGGTGCTAAATCTCCTATTTTTGTTATAACAAAACTAAACCCTCCATCCGTTTCATCAGTCCATTGAGCCCCACTTGACATGAGATAAGCAAACTCATCTTTATAATGACTTGGTTGAACTGCAGTAAGATGAACTAGATTGTCGACATAACCTTTGTTTACTGCTTCATTGTCTTGGGTTGGTACACCCAGATTCTCTATTTTATTACCACCAAGGTTGACATCAGCTTTTACAACCCCACTTATTACAATTTTAGGTGTGTTGATTTCTATTCTCTTAAGTGGTTTGGTTATTGCTTTTGGTAGATCAGTGAATAGCCGACAAGTGATAGCAGTGTGATTTGAATTGTTATGAGTTCTTAGTTTTACTCCTGACATATTATAATTCCAAGACTTGTGAATATTTAATGACCAAGTGCCAGTGCGATTTCCACTTACCCAAAAGTTAGAATTGGAATGAGAGTTATCTCTGGGAATAAACCACAAAAAGTCAACGTTTATATTTCGCGAACCAAATTGAAATTCTATTTTGTTAATGTATGTGTTAGCAGTTGGTGTCCACCCTACAAGAGGTTGACCAGGTGCTGATGTTGTAAAAACAAAATCATCAAATGATGAACCTGAGATATATTGTAGATACAAAGTCGTTGGCGCAGCTGGATCTGTTATAGTAAATACACCACTTGTTCCATCTCCAGAATGATGATCAAATCTTTCTATTTGTTTACGAACCCATCCGCGATTAGCAGCTTGTTGATCTGTGGTGGGGTCACTGAGGTTAACTATTTTATTATTACCAAGATTAAGGTTTCCAGTCATAGTGACGGTACCATCTTTTTCCAAGTAATCACTCAAATCTGGGCTTCCAGCATTATCATCCACATACTTTTTGGTTGCAGCATCTGTATTTGATGTTGGAGTTGCAAGATCAACTATTTTTTTGTTTCCAAGATTTAGGTTACTAGTCATTGCAACACTTCCGTCCTTTTTTATAAAAGAACTTGTATCAGGTATTGAGTCGTCCACATACTTTTTGGTTGCACCGTCTGTGGAGTCTGTTGGTGGTCTAAGGTTAATTATTTTTTTATTATCCATGTTTAGATTATTAGTCATTTTATTTGTTCCAGCAACGTGTAGATACTTCAAATCTGTGAAAGCTAATGGTGTTGGTTGATTACCACCATTTGGAGCTGGTAGATTAAATATTCGATTGTTGTCCATATTTAGATTTCCTTTCATTGGGTAAGATCCATCTCTGTCAAGAAATGTGTTGTCTACGTAATATTTTGTTGCTGGATCTTTAGAATCCTGTGGTGTGATAAGATTTTGAATACGGTATCTATCCTTCATATCAATGTTTGAATCAACTGTTAGTCGTGATGTTGAGGGAGTTCCAGTGGAATTATCATCAACATATTTCTTTGTAGCAGCATCAGAATTAACACTAGGTGCGCCAACATTTCTTAGTTTTTTATTTATCATATCATAATCCCCACTTGAAGTGAGATTAAATCCAACTCCTGGTGCACCTTGTATTCCCTTAGCAAAGGGATGATCTAAAGATTGTTCGTTAAATATTCCCATTTTAATTATTGGTTAGATTACCAGTAAAGTTTTTTGCAATACGTTTTCTTGGTTTATCAACGTATAGAAATGAATACGGTTTTTTAGTTGCTGAGTGGTAATCTTCTTTACTAACTCCTAACTCAGATGATATTCTATTAGACTCCCTCGATGATGGAAATTCATATAAACAGTAATGAGAACAATTCAGCCGAATGTCCTTTGGTGTTTTATAAAACGATTGACTGAGGTACACCACCGAACAATTCTTATGTCGTCCTTGAATGAAATAATCAATCAGTTGTCTCTGGTTTTTATCACAAACATAGTCATCGAATATTACAAGTTTTTGATTGTCTTCGTAATCCATTTCTGTCACTGGGGTTATTTCATCATTACTTACATGAAGTATTTCATATCCCAGTTTATGACTTAACTCCCTCATTTTTTGAATTAGCTTTTGATACTTATCCTGTTCTAAATTACGTGCGTAAAGATAAATTTCATCGTAATACAACAGTGGTTTGATTAACATATGGTACAATAGATTAGTCTTACCACTTCCACTGTTTCCACAGATTAACATCCGAAATGTGTTTGATGGCATGTAAGGAAATAATTGTTTATATTTTTTATCTGGATTGTCACCACTATCATAGTTTGGTATTTCCATTTTATCTAATATACATATTAAATAAAAATGGATGTTGAAGAATACAAAAAACTTGCAAGAAATAAAATTGAAGCTGATGCTTTGACTCGACAGGTGAGAGATGTTATAAAAATAACAAAATGGCAAAAACAAGATGTTCGGGAAGGATTTAAAGAGTCATTTAAACCACTTATTAAATCTCAAGATAGTATTAAAAAAAGTATTGATGAGCAGCAAAACGCAACTATAGCACAACTTAAAAAAAATCAACTTGCTCTTACTCAAGGTTTTGAACAGTTTAACCGATTAGCTGATATGAGAGAATTACCATACGACAACGAAGAAGGTTTGGATAGAGGTTTGCCAGAACCAACAACATCTAAACCAAGATCACCTACACGTTATAACATTGAAAAAAATCTTGACAATGTGGATTTAGGAGTACTAAAGGATATGGGCTACCCAAGACCAAATGAATTTTTTGATACTAACCCTGAAAGACTTAGAGAAATACGTGATGAAGTAAAAAATGATGTAAAAGTTACTACAGGACAAATAGCTGGTTTGAAGAGAAAAAAACAAAAAACAGAAGATGAAAAAATGGAAATAGAATTTATTCAAATGCAAAAAGATTTACTACATAAATACAAAAACATTCTTGAACTTTATTTAGGTTCGCTTGAGTATAAAATGGGGCAAGGAATGATTTACTTTAACAACCCACATCAACTTCTAGACAGACTTGAATTACTCGGTGGTTCAATTCTTGCTGGGAATAATGGTGTAATACCTGAGTTTTCTCAAATAGCACATCTTCTCAATCAAATGAAAGTAATCTCAAAAAAACAACTAAATGATTTACTAAAAAGTTATATAACTATTAACTAAATGGAAGAACGAGCTATTCACATTTCCTCATTTAATAGGGAAAAAAGAGGAACAAGCAAACCTGGTGATTTTACAATAAAGTTTAATCCATCTCTGAAACTTGATCCTGATAAGAAACACCAACTTGCTCTTGATCGGTTGTCCATGACTTACTCTTGGTACAATATTAGAAGTGATTATGAAAACAATAAAATAAAATACACCCACGATGGGTCCACCTGGCAAACAATTACTTTTGTAGATGGAATGTATTCCTACTCAGATATTAATGATTACATTCATCAATACATGGATCAAAAAAATCATCACTCCACAGATTCAAGTGGAAAAAAGAAGTATTCAATAAATCTAACTTTTATTCTCTCAACATATCGAGTTCTCATATCACTTGATGGTAATTATCAACTTGATCTGAGAGGAACTAAATTTGGAGACCTAATTGGATTTGAAAAGAAACTTATTACAAAAACAGAATATGGAACAAAACTACCAAATATCACAAATTCGATTGATGTATTGAATATCAACACAAGCGTAATAACTGATAGCATTGTAAATGGAATAAATACAAATACTATTGCTGTAGTACCAACTAGTGATCTCACAAGGTCTTATCCATTTACGTTTGAGCCTAAAAGACCTTTGTATTGTCCTGTCTCTTCATTTCACATTGATGAAATGAGAATATATGTGACAGACTCACTTGAAAGACCAGTAAATTTAAACGGTATTGATTGGAATATGACTTTAATACTTCACTCGATGTAATATAACTATTAAAATAAAATGATGCGACAATCAGAGTTTAAAATGAGACTTGACCCTGAATTGGGAAGATATACAAGACAACATATTTATGGAGAAGGAATGATGGATGTGTTTAAATCGGTTGGTAAAAAAATATTTGGAAAAACAATGAAAAAAGCTGCTAAAAGAGGTGCTAAAAAAGCGGTAACAATGGCTGCAACAAAAACTGGTGAACATGTTGGTAAAAAGGCTGGTGATAAAATAGTACAAATATTATCAAAAGAAAAGGCTGCACCCTCCAACAAAAAAGTTACTTTTAATAAAAATGTTAAAACAATTCCAAACACTCAACAAGAGATAGATCAAACATTAAATAACCTTCTTAGTGGAGGTTCAACACGTAAGAGAAAATTATATAATTATTAAAATAAAATGAAGTCATTTAGAAATCCAAAATATTTAGATAGATATGAAGATGTTGTTTTTGACCTGGAACAGACTTTAGATGCGGCTCCAGCAAATGCTGCGCACCAAACTAAAACAGGTCTTAGATTTGTAGCTGATAATACAGGAGAAACTACTCCTTTTGATTGGTATAACGCCCGATTATCAATGGATTTTAAAGTAAATAAGCTGGCAGATGGAGGAAATATTGCGGTTGCTGACCATAACGGAATTGTAAATGGTAGTAACTCATTTATAGAAAAATTAAGTATCCTGGCAAATGGAAGAGAAGTTTATAGTTGTAACTACGCAAATCATGTTGTAAATATTAAAAATCTTCTTGAGTATAATCCTTCATATGCTGAGAGTGTTGCTACAAACGAATTTTATTTTCTTGATACATCAACATCTGCAGAGGAAAGACCTGCTCAAGCAACTTATAATAAAGGTTTTCATAAAAGAAAATTACTATTAGGTGTATCAGCCACAGTAAACTGTGAAATTCCTCTTAATAGATATTCTTTCTTTGAAGCATTGGAAGACAAATTACTTCCAAATACAAAAATTGAGCTAAATATCGAAATTGAAAAAGATGCAAATTTAATTTTTCAAGCTGCTGATGATTGTAGAGTTATTATAACAAGACTACAACTTTTTATTCCAAAACTTACGTTTAATTCGGAAGGGCAAAAGTTGTACATGGAGAATTATCTTAAACCTTACAAATGGTCATATTTGAATGAGGTAGTTGAAAGATCAAATAATACACAACAACAGACAGGACATTTTAGAATTACAAATGCTATTTAAAAGCCAAGACATGTATTTGTTTTTGGAATTGATACGGCAAGAATTGATGAACAAACGGCGAATCCATTTTTGTACGATACTTTTAATCTACCAAATAATGCTAATATATCAAGATGTTACCTGGAAGTTGCAAATGGAAACGAATACCCAGATATTCACTTTAAACCTTCTACTGATATGTCAAGAGTTTTTAGAAATGTAATGTCATACGTCTATGCAAATAATGATTATCAAGGTGGAACATTACTTAATATAAGTAATTTTAAAACTTTATTTCCTTTTGTTTATTTTGACCTAACAAAACAAAAAATGGATATCAAAGATGGTGTCACAAAATTGGCATTTCATTACGAATTATCTGCTAATCCAAACGCTGATTATAATATTTACGCATTAGTCTTACATGAAAGAGTAGCAGAAATATCACAACAAGATGGAAAACTATTGCTTAGGGCTTAATCTCAATCATCCCTGCAACCTTCCAACCATCTCAAAAATTTATACTATCTGTTAAAGTTACACAGAATTTTATACAATCTGTTATAATTACACAGAATTTTATACAAGCTGTTATGATTACACAACATTTGATACATTTGTAGAAAATGTTGTGTAATAATTTGATTGGTTGAAAAAATCATACGATAATGTCGTGATATAAAACAATAACCTTCTAGAAGGTTCTAATGACAAAGCAATTTTTATGTCACACCTAGAACATTTCAAACTAATTAAAAAACTTAACCACCAACTGATATAAACCCAAAACAAATGATATTGAATTGAATATAAATATTAAAATAAAATGACAACTTATATTGAATACGGAGTAACACTTACAGAAGGGCAAAAGTCAAAATTGGCTTCTGCAATATTAAATAAATCACCACTAACTCTTCGTTTAAAACATTCTCATCTTCGAGGTTCTGATGAGTTAATGCTTACCCAAAGACAAATTGATAAAATAAAAAAGTCTATTGCAAATGGCACAGGATCAGATATAAAAATAAGTAAAACACAGATTAGACGTTCTGTAAAACATGGAGGAAACTTATTTTCTTCACTCGCATCTCTTGGAGCAAAAGTACTACCTTACGCAATTAAAGGAGTTTCAAAAGTTGTTCCTGCATTGGCTACTGGTGCTGCTACTGCACTTGGAGAAATTGGTCTAAATAAAATATTTGGAAAAGGAATTACAATTCCCCCACAGTTTTTCCCAATGTTACCACCTCTTGTAAGAGAATTTACCAAATCACAAACAAATCAAATTAACAAAGCTTATCAAACAGGAGGGCGATTAGTTATAAAACCAACTCGTAAACAGATAGAAGGAGGATTTCTTGGAACTCTTGCATCTATTGGTATCCCAATGGCAATTAGTTTAGTATCTAAAATGTTTGGATCTGGACTGCAGGTTGATAGACGAGGATCATCTAATACAGCAAATGTTTACGTTCCACATCCTCCTCCCCCACCAACACATGGTGAAGGTTATCCTTATTACCCACCACCCTTTATCGGTACATGGAAAAACCCAATTGGAATGGGAGTTAAAAAAAAAAAGTCCAAATCCAAAGGCAAGGGTCTACTATTAGGAAAAAACAGCCCATTCAACTCAATCCCATTAATAGGGGCAATTTTGTAATTAAACCTCTATCCAACTTTGACCTCATGGAATGGATAAAAAGACTTGGTATTAAACATTTTAGAGGAATTTACAGTAGGGATGGGCTACCTCATAAGATAAAAAAAGAATGTGGAATAATCAATCTAGATGATATAACAGGTCCTGGAACACATTGGGTTTGTTATAGAAATATAAACAATGTAGTTGAGTACTTCGATCCATTTGGGTTAATAATGCCAAATGAAGCATTAGAGTATTTTAATACAGCTAAAAAGCGCATAGTTTACTCAACAGATGAAATACAAAATCGCAATACTGTTCTATGTGGTTATTGGTGTTTATATTATCTGTTTGAGAGACAGCGGGGTAATAGTATTCTAAATGTAATACATAATCCACATTTTGATAATGACAATAGTGATTTCATACAAGAGTATTTTGGAGGATAAAAATAATATTTAATAAATATTATTTTTTTTATTCACTATCCGCTGGCGTATCCTTTAGTTGCTTAACTTTCTCAACTTTTTTATTTAAATCTTTAACACTATCAACTATTTCATCAAAACTACAATAAATATTAATAAGTCGATAAAGTTTCTTCTTTTTATCACTATTTATTTTCAACCAAGAATAGTCCTCATCTCTGATTTTTTTCCACATCTCACATTCACCAGCCATTAGTATTCTAGAAAGATCATCATTTTTCTTTCTAAGAGCCTCAAACTCATTATTTATTTGTGTTCGTACATCTTTCTCAAAATCTTTGAGTGTTTTAACATCCATCTTTTTTTCTATTTCAGAAAAGAATTTGGCTTCCATTTATTATATAAATAGATAATTACCTTTTATTATATTATTCAACGTAATTGATTTTTCACTTATTTCCATAAGCAACTCAAATATTTTTATAAATCTAGTGTCATTTTCCAGTCTAGGAAAATTAGCATATTCATAACTCATATTTAGGTTATTGTATATCTTTTGAAGTTCACTTTTTACAAAATTAGATCTAGTAGACATATTTTATCTAAACATTATATTAAATGAAAGAATCATATTGCATTGTAGATAAAAGAGTAACTCCTTGCACAGAGCCAAGTGGTTACCAAAAAGATAAAAGAGGGCGTACTCAATTCTTTTGTAGATGTGCAGTTTGTGGAAACAAAAAAGTTAGATATGTGAAAACTGGAACAGCTTCTCAAAGTGGAAGTGGAAAAAAGAGAAAACGAAAGTCAAAAAACTAAACAGCCCGTCTGAAGGGGCGGGCGTCTTTGATACTGTTGTTGGTACAGCAGTTGATGGATTTGTTCATTACGGTTTACCTTGGATGGGTAAGAAAGCAGTTGAAATGGGACGATATGGAGCAAGCGAGTTAATGAGAAATAAAAATCTTCAGAAGAAAGCTGTAAATTATGGGATTAGTAAACTCACTCCATTTATTCAAGATTCTGTTGGAACAGCTATGGACCAGTTATCAACCAAAGTGAGACCAAAAAATAAATATAAAACTGATAGACCAGAATTAGATGGAAGAGGAATAGATATTCACAAGCAGATTGGTAAATTACCAAAACCAAAAGGTGGATGGACCTTACCAGGGCATAAATATACAGGTCCTTATAATGATCTCGAAAACCAAGTAAGATACAATCCGGAAACTGGTGAAATATTAGAAATTTACGATCAACCAACTGGACCAACTGATGCCGTGGCCATGCAACATGATGTTGATTATAGTGTTTGTGGTGATGACCGAAAGTGTAAAAATAAAGCTGACAGAAAGATGGTAAAATCGTTAGATGCAATTCCTTGGAAAGAAAGGCAATGGGGGCATACTTTGGCTAGAACAATAATAAATACAAAACAAAAACTTGGAATGGGATCAAAAAACGTAAAGCGGCGTTGAGTAGTGATTGGTCTCAACAATTAGCCGACGAACTTCACAAACCAATCACAAGAAACTTTCAAAAGAGATCAGTAATCTCAAACGGGATTGATGATATCTGGGCTGCTGATTTAGTTGAAATGCAAAAGTTTAGTAAGTGGAATAAAGGGATAAAGTATCTGCTAATGGTAATAGATGTGTTTAGTAAGTATGGTTGGATTAGGGGGATAAAAGATAAAAAAACTGAAACTGTTAGTAAAGCATTTGATGATATATTTAAAAGTAAACGTAAACCGCAGATGTTATGGACAGATAAAGGTTCTGAGTTTATAAGTAAACATTTTAAAGATTTTTTGAAAAGAGAGGGAATTAAACTGTATCACACTGAAAATGAAGAGAAATCAAGTGTTGTTGAGCGATGGAATAAAACAATGAAAAACAGAATGTGGAAGATGTTTACTGTGAATAACAACACTGTTTACTGGGATAAGATAGATAAACTGGTTTATGACTATAATAATGCGAGACACTCTAGCATTAAAATGACTCCTGTTGAAGCTAGTAAAAAGAAAAATGAGCGTAAAGTTTGGAATAATTTGCATGGTGATTTAATTTACTTGAAACCTGGTAAACCAAAGTTTTCTATTGGAGATCGTGTTAGAATTTCAAAATATAAGAGGCGAGTATTTGATAAAGGTTACACACCAAACTGGACAGAGGAGATATTTGTAATTGATAAAGTTCTTCCAACAAAACCTATTACGTATAACATTGTTGATTTGATGGGAGAAGAGATTAAGGGTTCTTTTTATGAACAAGAATTACAGAAAGCAAAACAACAGACATTTAGAATAGAAAAAATAATCAGGAGGGATAATAAAAAGAAAATGGCATTAGTAAAATGGAGTGGATATCCTGATAAATTTAACTCGTGGGTGAGTTTGAAGGATTTGGTTGATTTTTAATACAAATATTGTATTAAAAATAAAATCCTATTATTTACTCATCTTCTTCTTTATCAGATAAAAGTAAGTCTTCAACTACTTGATCATTTATCTCTTCGCCCTCACTCTCTTCCTCTTCAATTGTTAGTAAAGACTCCCTAGGTTTTAATGGTTTGACATAGCACTCATGTACTTTTATTTGTAAAGATGTTATAGTCTTACTAATAAAGATTCCTTCGATTATTAGTGCCATTTTAACATTGCAGTACTGATTAATATATTTGAAAGGATTTAAATCCTTCTTTCCTTTTGTTTTAAATAGTGAAAGAATTTTCTTTGATTTCTCAGAGTAAATAAGTTTTGCATAAAGAATTGGCGCTGATGATGGATCTATTCTTGTTTTCTTCTTTCCTTTCTTATCTGTATATTCTTCTTGTTTGTAATAAAATGGTGAAGATAGAGATGATGCTAAATCCGGTCCATATTCACTCTCTAAATATTGCTGAGATAGAGTTGTTACATTATTAATAACATCAAAAAATGCTTTTTCTTTATTACTAGGTTCACTATCTTTAGCCCAAAGACACACTGGTATACTATAACCTACTAACTTATTTGTTTCTTGGTTTTTCTTTTCATTAACACCAAAACTAAAAAGAACTGGAGATTCAACTACAAGTGGTCCTTTTTTGTTATTTGCATATTTGACTTCAATTGGAATACGTTTGTATTTAATCTTGCTATCTTTGACTTTGTACTCTTTGGCTTCATTAAAGATAATATTCTCTTGGGTAATATTTTCGTAACTTGACAACTGCATTTTATTAATATTTATTAAATCCTTAAGCCATAAATCAATTTTATTTTTTAGGCCATAAAAGATTAGTTGACCAATAGTTTGCTGATTCTGGATTAGTATAAGTTAACTCCCCCTGTTTATTTTTAATCTTTGTAGCTCGAGCCAGATATTTATCTCGTCGATCTTTGTCTTTATGAATAGTGTAGTCTGGGTATTTTGGTGATCCAAAGTGAACTTTCTTTCCACCTGGAAGTGTTGCCATGTATTTGTTATTTTTTCGGGTTGAATAATCAAGTGATTCTGCACCAAGTTTTTTAGCATTTCTGGTTAATCTCTTAAACTCAGATCCAGTAACAACATATTTTTCTTTTGGAATATAATCTGGATCCTCATCATGTTTATAACCATCATCAACTATAAAATCCAAATCCTCTTTTGTAGGAGTAGTTTCTCTCGATCTTGGTTCCATTTTTATTAGTTGATTATATAATAAATTTAGAATAAATAAATAAATTTTTAAGTTGAAAAGGATCAAATGAAATTTCCAATGTATTTGAACCTTTTTCTAAAGATAAACAAACTGCATTTTGCATTTCATATTTATCATATTCTAATTTAGCTTTATATTTATAATCTTTGTAGTATCTAAATATTACTCTATATACCATCTTTTGAAAATCTATTAGATATTTATCAGTTGGATAATTAAAATAAAAATAAGTATTATTTATTTCTTCCATTAAACTTTTTATTTTTTTTTATATTTCCTTCGCTTCATCTTTATATCTTTTATTATAAGAAAAAGTACATTTATCATTAAAATTCTTAATCTGTCATAATCATTATACGTTACAAAGTAATATTCTCCCGTTTCATCTTCTCTATCTTCAAATAAAACACTAAATAAACTTTCATTTCTTTTGTAACTTTTTCTTATATTAATGTTTAAATTAAACAAAAATGATAATATTCTATTCATTCTATATATTAGCTTTATAATTATAAGGTAAAACATTAACATTTAGTATTTCATAATTATCTTTCCTATATTTCAAAGCTACTGACTTTTTATCACAACACTCAACTCTAATTTCTGGATTTGGATAATCTTTGAGTAACAAATATAATTTATGATCTTTATCATTTTTAATATATTCCATTTTATCATATATTGATAAACAAGTATTTGCTATATAAACTTTTTTCCCAGGAAAATGAATTGAAAAAATTTTTTGAAAATAATTATCCATTTATTAATTTAATATTTTATTATTTTAAATCATTTTAAAACTTGTAACAAAAAAATGTTATAAGTTTAGAAATCATCACTATCATCATCACTATCTGGTAATATTATATCATAATCTTCATAATCACTATAATCATCACTATCATCATCATCACTAAATTTTATTTGATTAAATATTTTTTTAAATATATCATAGAATTCTATAAAACCAGGATAAGGTTTACCATCAACTAAATACTCACCATTTCCATCATCACTATCATCATCACTATCACTATCACTATCACTATCACAATCATCAAAAGCATCATAACGATGTTTATATAAATCAAATTGTTGATTAATATTTATTAAATTAGAAAAATCATCACTTGGTAAAAACATACCACTAATATTCTTTAATTTACCTTTTTCTTGTCCTCTAAGAAAATCTTTCATAAAATTCTTAATTCTAACAACTGTTTTACTCTCAAATAATCCTTCATTTAATGTATCCAGTTTATTTATTAAATACTTAAAATCCTTATTTATTCCTCTTATGAAAAGATATTCTTTTTTATAATTTTCTGCATAATATGGAATTTTATTATTTAATTTTATGAAATTCTTAATGTCCCAGAATTGTCTCACAATAACCATTTTACTAACTACTGTTAACAAATGTCTGTACCAATAAGTTCAAATACCCTTTGGGGGCCACCAAGGGGACCTAGGGCCAGAAGGGGACGCATTTGACCCTCACTGGCCAATTTCTAGGATAAACCATGGCGAAATACGAAACATCTGAAGTAAAATTTCATTTGCATAAGAAATCAGGTAATCTATCAAAAGATGCAATAACGTGCCCTTGAACTAAGCATTGATGAGACAGGCTTCTAGCCCATGTCCTGTGCATGAGAATTTAGAAACTATAACCTGTCCATGGTCAAGCTAACTCAAATTAAAAAAAACAATATCAGGTTCAGCGATGTTGTATGCAGCATCAATAGCGCTAATCATAGCCCTACTTAACAGTGATATTCTTAATTCAGCAACATTTTTTTAGCAAACAATTGCGAGCAAAACAAATAACCCACTCACCACTACACCAAAGGATACTGTCAACAATATCATACTGTAAGCAAGGGAAATCAACTTTCCTTGGGACGATGTATTGGACTTGACAGTTAGAGAGTGGCTAGAGTGCATGGTCAGTTCCCAAAGGGCACAGCCCAAGTTTTTTTGTGGGTCCACTGCTGGCTGTGATGTCAGTTCTCATTGGTCCCCGATCTGTGATACAGGGTACAGTATTCTTCAAGGAATATGCAAACATACTTGCCCTCACATTATGCAACATTGGCACAGCCAAGTCCGCAGCTTATAAAATTGCGGTCGATGAACCATTGACTGAACTGAATGCAGTAATTGGAGGACTCACTGTTCAAGACTACACATGTAAAGGCCTGATGCAGCATTTAGTACAGCATAGCAGACATGTCATAATACTATACCAAACGGTGTGTAGACTTGACCTAGTAATAGTTGACACTACAGCTGCCCCCACTCTGTATATTGTCGGTCAATAGTATTCTTGCTCGTTGTGTAGCTCTTTAAAACATACTGATTCATAATGAAGATTTTCGCACATATTCCATACAATAGGTGAGATAAATACAGGAAACGCAAGGCTCCATGCACAGTTTCAGGGTTCGATTAAACAGCTTTGATCAAAACATTCTCAGCTTCGAGAACAGTCTATTCTAAACCATAAGAAAAGATTTAATTAGAAGATGAGTTTTTCGCTATTTCTCTTTCACTTTTTACATTCAGTTCATTTTATTTGTCCAAAAGTAAGCCTTAGAAATTAAAAGGACGTTTGATCAATTCACACTCAAGCATTCTAGTCTTATTTTAAACTTTATAGTGGAAGGACATCTGTTAGCAGGGAATAAAACCGCACAGAATTTGATTGTCGGTGAATTTCTGTAATCGTCCATCATTCTGCTCGTGATAAACTAGCCGTTGTTCACTCATGTTGCTTGTTTGGAGATAAGTCTTATTCTGGTCAAAGAGAGAGAAAGAGTGTCTGGCAAGGTTTCCAATCAAACATTCGGAACTCGTGTCTGGCAAACTCTCCAAGTGTTTATATAATACACAGTTATACGCACCTTATAACTTTATCTGCACTTCATGATTGTCTTTCAAAACAACTGCTTCACAGAATGTCGCTGATAACACATGATGCAAAAGAGTATCCAAGTATGACTGCACAATAAATGTCACAAAGTCTACCTAAGCAGCCCCTTCGGGATTTTCTGCCTTTGCATCATCCTAACCATTTCGTACTTGAGGTCACAAACAATAGAAACGTCATCATTACCTTCCGATTCCTTGTGGCCCCTGTTCAAGGAAATCAAGATTTTTTCTGGCATACTGACTGTATATTTCAACTGTAAGTACTTTCCTTAATATAGGTGCAGGTTACTAGAGTGCCTCCTTGAGGGCGAAATCCCTGCGCAATGATCTACACTCAGAGGAAATACCAATACCATGGAACCACATCGTGTTATTTCGTCTCTATTTAGTACGCCTATATACATAATAATTAACTGCAATGTTTTGTTTTCACCTTTTCCTTCCCTAAGAGGAGTTACAGTGGTCTAAGCAATATGAAGACCCACAGAACCTCTAATGTTATATTTATACAACTATTATACTTTTAAGAAACAGCTGAAGACTTACTATTTTCAAACTGCATACAATTTCTAATTAAATATAGGTGTAAATTAATTTTACTCTTTTTTTTAATCAATTTTAATGAAACATAACATTTCTTTTAGTTATAATTATTGTAAGTAATAGGTTAAGTACTAGATAATTAAGTTAGGTGTCATTTACAGATATATTCATTTTTAATTCGATAATTAATATATTTTTTTAGTTAGCTTCAATAGTTTGTAATGCGCATTTGATCATTTGATATATGTTGATTTGCGCAATACCAAATAATAAATATTATTATTATTATAATTGTGTCAATAACAAAATGCTTGAATATGATTGGTTCTTAACAGCCCATATTTATAGCTTAATTTTGCTATGTAACTCCAAAACTGTCCGATTTGACCTGTCGGATTACCAGAAGCTTGTAATCGGACAGCTCAAATCGGACAGTTAAAGAACCAATGAAAATCAAGTAGCAAATGCCACTAGACAATGAAATTTCACTACATGGCACATGATAACCAATCAAAATCAATGAAAAAATTGTGACCAGGTAAGCTGTCGAGCTTCAACTGGAAAAGAAAAATGGAGGAAACTAACTGGTCCAGTGACTTTTATTCAGACATTTTTTCTTTAGACTTTGGCAGCTTGTTTAATACAATTGATTTAGAAAGCCTTGGAAGTAAAGAAAATAGTGATACAGTCCCTGAAGTCTTAAATACAACAAACCGAGAGAGCGAGCGAGTGGTCCTGGCGGAAACAACAAACAACTTACCGGCACTAGACGAGTCCAGGTTTCCACTTACTTCCACTGACCAAATCCAAGAAACAATTAAAGAAGCACAAAACAAGAACAAAAAATAACTGCAAATACGTGGATGAGAGTTTGGTATTCCTGGGCAAAGTCACGTCAAATCAACGAGCGTATAGAAACAATGGCGCCCGCAACTTTAGACGGAGTCCTCCAAAAATTTTATCGGGAAGTGAGAAAGCAAGACAGCTCAGAGTATGAACTGGACTCACTTAAAGTTGTGCAAGCGGCCCTGGAACGGTACCTATCCACCCAGAAATATCCACACAGTCTGATAAATAGTCTGGAGTTCTCATCTTCAAGGGCTGTTCTTGAAGCAAAAGCAAAACAACTACGAATGAATGGTTACGGCAAGAGAAAGAATCGCGCCCTGCCATACAACTCTGCCAAAGAAGAGTCCTTCTGGTCAAGTGGTGTGTTAGGCGACCATGATGGAGTGGCTCTCACAAACGTTGACTTCAAAAATTTGTCTGAGCACTTTGGATTTCGTGGCTGTCAAGACCATTACAACGCTTATGTACAAGATTTTAAAGTTGCGTGGATCCAGATCCAGGGAGGAGAATTGGCAAAGTGCATTCGGTTCAATAAAAATCCAACAAAGACCCATTCCGGTGTCCTTTCAGCGAAACACAGAAAAACTCCTCAAGAGATGTGGGCCACAGACGGTGGACCAAGAGATCCAGTCCGGCTTTTTGAAGAACTTCTGAGAAGGTGCCCATTAGAAATGCGAACCTCTGGGCCTTTGTACTTGGCAATAATACAGCGTCTGAAAACCAAAGCTTGGTATGCCAAGTCCAGGATGGGCGAACACAAACTTGGCAGCATTATGAAGACCCTAGCACAGACGATCAGCATTGATGGAAAAAAGATTTCAAATCATTCCACCAGAAAAGCAGTTGTCGCCAAATTGAAAAAAGCCGGACAACCAAGGCACAAAATAATTCAAATCACGGGCCATGCAAATGAAACCTCGCTCGATGACTATGACGAGACTGATGAGGAAGAAAGGAGAACTCTGTCACATATCATAAGCGGCCATTCTGGACCATCCACAACGACAAGTTCTTCCAAAGCATCGCTGCCAAACTTGAATTCATTGCCAGTTCCACCTTCAACAGATGTTGTTGTGCCATCGAGCAAATATGCAACGTCTTCATCAACTTCACTAGGTGCAGCCATCAGCCAAGCAAGCGCTTATTCTCTCGCCCATCAGTATTCTAATGTCCAGTCTCCAATTACACGAACAAACGACCCAGCAGTTCAGCAATTCCACAACTGCACTGTAAACATCCAAAACTACTTTGGGCCGCAGTCAACAAATCAAGCCAGTTCTTTGAGGGTAGAATGTCCGATTGGCGAGATAACAAGCCCAAGTATTCCAAGACGAAAGCGTAAACGAGCTTACATTATTGATTCTGATGAAGACTGAATTTGAACACTGACTGTTTTCTCTCACATACTTATAATTTTGTCTAAATATTCATGCTTGAAAAGTTAAAAGCTATTAACCATGTGAGCCGTTCTAGAAAATGTCGCCCGTAACGAAAGTGTTTTATGAGCGGGTGATCTCGTACATCTTATTTGGTAATGTTGAGCTAGTTGTCAATCACTTGTCAGTTCAAACAAGTTGTACCATTTCCGGTTCCTTTGGGACTTGCAATCTGTATTAAAGCTGACGCGACAAGCTGTACTTCAATTCCACTACTTTTAAAAATTGTCCCATTTTGTTCAAATATTGACGTACATGTATTTTAATTAAAAATATACTTTTTTGAAAAAAGATCTTCATGCGGTCGGGCTTCCAGTCATCCAAAGTTGAAACCAGTCATTTTATTGCTTTGGAATCTATTTCTTACGTTAATAAATATTCCAAGAATGAGATTCTCGCATTTCGTTATTGGCACAATTAATTAATAATAGGACTTCGTGCCGTACAATTCAGGGGTACTCGTGTTCGTAATTTCAAATCGGCCTCGCGCGATTTGAAATTACTCGCCCGATTACTCCCTGAATTGTACTCCACTCAGTCCTATTACCATTACTCATTAATACGGTACATTTGTGGTGTATTATGCAAAAAAAAATCAATTTCTTCTCCTTTCCATTCCAAAAGGCTTCAGATGCTGATTTTAGTCATCTATGTACTTGGAGTGCACAGTAAAGAGGACTCTGATTAGCTACTGGGAATATTACATGAAAACTCTGGACATTTCCTGCTTCCATTTTAAAAATGTAAATCTTGAAATGAATTAATAAATTTTTCAACCATCTCTGGTAAACAAAATGATTTTAGTTTGATTTGTCGTTTCAATTTATTAACAGTTCATTTGCAAATAGCATATTTTAACCAAATATCACATGTGACTCTGCATTCCACCTACATGAGTTGATCAACGGTAGATTCACTATGTCAAAAGATTGAAAAGCATGAACGCTGACAGAATTGCAAAGACTAAGAACTAAGTTCCTCCAAAATAGCTTCAATAGACTCCATCTCAATGGCATTCTGAAACATGGTGGGAGCAAAAAGGGGAAAATAAAAAAAGACAACTTGAACAAGACCAATTCCTTTAAGTTGAACTAAAAAAGGGAATAATATAGACTTGCTGCTTCACAAGAATGCCATGATCAACGGACAATTGAGGCAGCCAAGCGATTCACTTTTGGAAAATCGACCACAATTTTCCATGGTATACACTCTTACAGACCATAGAAGTGATGTCATAAAATAAACCGCAGGCAAGTGGTTTCACTGCAAAGTTGTGAACATTTATGGTGTCATTTCTATGTCTATAAGAGGGAAGACCATGGAAAATTGTGGTCGCTTTGTTTTTTACTGTAACATTTATTTTTTTACGAAAAACCAAAGACAAAACACTGTACAAAACAACAGGTCCTGCGTGACATGTTACATCATTTCCACGGACTATACTCTCATTGACCATAGCTCTCGACCAATAAGTGCAGGAGGATCGCTCAGTTATTGTAAAATTAATTTTATCACTACATTAAAGTTCAAGGAGTAAAGTGATGAAATGGATTCTTGTTTGTTTTATTTTAAAGAGGCCGTTCCCGTATGTACCATTCTGGCAACATTGGTGTTGTCTGTCAATGTACTAGAATCCAGATGCTAGACGAAAAAACCAGCCTCTGGCTCCAGTCTCCCCCATTTTGTTCCATTTATCCATCATGCTCAGCTATCGAAACACACGGAGGAGGTTAAGCTTTAAGCTGTGAACAAGAAACAGTTAAGTTAACAACACACCAACATTTAGTTAATGCCTGCTAAAAAGCAGTTATCCACTACAAATGATTGATTTTGTCACATGGTTATCTGCTATTGTAAAAATGCAAAATAAACATTTTCGTATTAGTTATCAGTCTTCATTACTTGGTGTAAGTGCCCAAAACATGAAAGGTTTGACATCAACAAAAAGTGGTCTTCAACTGACAAATCTTTTGGGGTGAGGGACTCACAAGAAATAGGTAAGCATGCAAAATCTAAACGATATAATTGTAAAACCAATACATTATTTAATTTTATTCCCATTGACCATGTAGTAATTGATACACTACATTTGTTGTTGAGAATATCTGATAATTTAATTGAACTTCTTATCAGGGAACTACGCAGAAAAGATGCCATTGACAAGGTATCTACTTTTTTCAAATGGGTTTTGTCGAAGCAGGTATAGACACAGCTGGGTAAGAAAAATTTGTGAAAGACCTTGGAATTAGTTTTGAATGGAAAATCAATAAGGACACCAAGACTTTGGAGTACAGAGATCTTACAGGACCTGAAAAACTCTTGCTGTTTCAGCACATAAATTTCCATTCAATATTATCAGAATGTCATGACACGGATAAGCTGCAAGCCCTTTGGAGTAGTTCAATGGATATTATAGGTTATCTTAAACAGATGATGCTATCTAAAATGCCATGACCTATACCAAGCAAAAGACGTGACACCTTATATGCATGCTTGGTATGCTCATAAGCCTGAATTTTTAAAGATTTACCAAAATTTAGCATATTACACCCAGCAAGGTATGGAGAAATACAACGACACCGTATGGAGGGACTACTTTAAATCATCAAACCATAGGGGGGTTTCTGCACTAAAGGAACTTTTCACGAAAAAACATAGAATACAGCTTTTGGAAGCGGCTGCTGTGGAAAGGGTGAAAGAAAGCTACAATTGTGGACACTGTTCAACTACTGGCCATACCATGAAAACATGTACTGCAAAATGCAGCAAATGTGATGCTCCTACTTTCTGTGCACATCTTGTTAAAAAAGATGGTAAATGGAAGCCAAGATGTGAATTAATCAATCAGTTATCATTTAATATATCAATGTATTAAAGGAGTGCATTACCTAATAACTGTAGACGTTGTGTGCAATAATTTTGCTATAACTATGTATTTAGGTAGTCTTCTTCACAATACTACCGCATCGATTACAACAGAATCACAGACTGAAATATATGGGTAATTTCTACCCACATGTTTACACTGTATGTCAATAATTCACAGGAAAGTAAAATAATCAACGATTCATAGATAAAGAAAAATTAATGTCTATGTGTCAAATCAAATATATTAATGATGGACCATATTTTTGAATCCACATCTGTTGCCATCTCTACGGACAAACGGAAAAACAACTTGATGCGCGTCTTCGATTTTAGATCTCACACATTTATCGCCAATTAATTTAAATTCCACCATGGGGTTTCTTTCTTCAGCCAAAATCTTAAAGTTCCTGGTACAACATAGGCAAAATCACCATTGTCATTCATGATCCGCTCATTCCTCTTCGTGCCAATATAAAAATCCAGAAACCATTTGAAAGAATTTCATATATGATTTTATTTCCCTGATATCATTTGGACGTAATCCTTCCAAGACTTGCATTCAAAATGTCATCATTGACTTGAATTTCAATACGTACTTCGGGTTCCTCTCTGCGACCTGAGTACAACTTTCGCTTGATCTCCCTGTACAAACATTCCCAAAAAGCTTGCAGACGATCGCTAAGGGAATCATCAGTTGGTTATGATATCGGTTCTAATCATATTACTGGCAAGTTATTTTCATCGCATGGCCTCCATTCGTCAAATTTCTCACTGTACCCTTTAAAACGACTTTTAACAATGTTTCTCACTTTGTCAACCTGTTATCTGCACTGGGTAAATCTTCCTGTCCGCAGCTTTTAATTTCTTGTAATTCTTGCGCTTAGCTTCTGCAAATTCATCATAAATCTCTGCGGAATCTTACATTCCCGCTTCACTCTGTTGTCTGCCATTTTGAACATTGGCATTCTTTGCATTTTCTTTGCATATTTTATTACCTAGGGCATGTCAGGTGAGTAATATGGAGGCTTGGGACCAATTTAAGCAAATGTTCAGGCTTCTATGGGATAAGTTTGATATGGCAACCAATGTCATTTACGTAAGGTGTCAATAAAACTAGCAGTGTACAATTTTAAGCGTTTTCCACTTATAAGCCTGACTTACCTTGATTGAACTATTTTACTGTTTCCATGCTTAAGGAAATTTGTACTTTCTTCGAGCTCCCATTTAAATCTAGAGATTCCAAAGCTGTTGTAATGTCAAAAATAAAGGAAATGACCCATGAATGCCAGAGCTCAGTGGAAGGATAATTACATCATCAAGCAGTAATGCAATGGCCCTTGTTGCTGTCTATAATGGACAGATTGTAAGTTGGTTATGAAAATTACACTTGTTTCTGTTTTGCTTTGACTTTGTGACGTGGTAGGTATATATTCAGCTGTTCTTAGCCACCATTTTGCCAGAACAAAGTATATGTATTTATTTAGAGTGGTACACAAAGAACAGTTTACTTTAAAAAATTGTAGAGGGTAACTGAAAATGAAAAAGAAAAGGTGTCCTGCACAGCAGTGTTTCAAATTTCCTTTCAGCCAAAAGGGAGTCGTGCAGAGGCAGGGGGAGGAGCTTCTTTAGCCGGCCTTTTGCATATATTTGTATATACAATGTAATAAGCGTGGTACACCAAAAAGTCAGTTTACTTATAAAACTCTTTGTCATTGTCGTATGAAAAAAAATGTACAGGAAAATTCCAAATGAATAGAATAGGGTTTATTGATAAAAGGTCACATCGAATCAAGGAATGAGCTGAAACTAATATAGTTCGCTTGACAATTGTAGGTCAGGCTTATAAGTGGAAAACGCTAAAAATTGTACATTGCTACTTTTATTAACACCTTACGTGTAGTGTACTTTCAGTATAGCTTACATGATGTATCTAGCTGTACAAAGGTTGATGGGATTGATTATTAAAAGCATGGCGGATTAGATTCGGAGTGTTTCTGGTGCAGCTTGATAATCTGTGTGAATCGGTTTCAATACGCGATTAAGACACGACATCTGGCGACGAGGATAGTCTTTTAGGTCAAAAAAGTTGAATTATGGCCTCTATCAAAGTGGATGATCTACTAACAAGTGTAAAACCCTTCGATCCGAACGGCGAACCGTCGAGCATTGGTAGGCGATGGCAACGATGGCTTAAAGGTTTTTCGTTATATGCCGACAGCAAGGGCCTCATCATCCAAGCAGACAAAGCCGACAATAAAGTGCAAAGAAGGGCTCTACTTTTGCATTGTGCTGGGGAACAAGTGCAAGAAATCTTCGAAACATTGGCTGATACGGGCTCAGCGGCCGAGTATGAGAAAGCTGTGAATGCGTTAAACGCATATTTCATTCCAAAGGTAAATTCGACATACCAAAATCATCTTTTCCGAAGTATGGAACAGCGTGAGGGTGAAACGGTGGCTCAGTTCGTGACAAGGTTAAGACAAGTTGTGAAAGATTGTGATTACGGTGATCAGGCGGATAATCAAATTCGAGATCAAGTTGTTCAGCGGTGTACGTCCCATGATTTAAGGCGGAAATTGCTTGAGAAAGGTGACACTTTAACCCTAGAAGTTCTACTTAAAACTGCTGCGTCCTTTGAGGCTGTGCAAGCTCAGCTGGAGAGTATGAAGAGTAGAGGCGTTACTGTGAATCAAGTTCGTGACTCAAGCGAAAACAAGCATTATCATAAAGGGAAGAAGACATCGGGTGAGCCTGGAAACAAAACATGTTATCGATGCGGCAACACAGGACATTTTGGACGAGACCCTGAATGCCCCGCGAAAGGAAAAACCTGCAGGTCATGTGGTGGTGCTGATCATTTTTCTTCGCAATGCAGAAGCAAGGAGAGTAAACGTAGAGGCGATAAGAAGCCAAAAGAGAAGAGGAAAGTGAGATATATGCAGGGAGAAAATGACGACGAGGAAGATGAGTATGCGTTCACTGTAAAATCAATGTCACAGCCGGAAAAAGTTCAGGTAATTGTGGGTGGTTGTGTTGTGAAAATGGTGATTGATTCAGGGGCGAGCACTAACATTGTAGACAAAGGTCTATGGAATGACCTAAAGCAGCAGAAGATTGTCTGTGTATCCAAGAAATGTGACAAGAAGCTTTACGCGTATGGAAGCAAGGAGCCATTGAAAGTTTTGGGGACATTTTCAGCGTTGACGAAAGTAGCTGAGAGCGAGGTTCAAGCTGAATTTGTTGTCATCGATGGTGAAGGAGAAGCACTACTTGGAAGAGAAACCGCGTTGCAACTAGGTGTGTTGAAATTAGGGGCTCCAGTTTATACAGTGCAATCCAAAGAAGTGATCATGTCTGATTACAAAGGAGTATTTGATGGTGTAGGCAAGTTGAAAGACTATCAGGTCAAGTTACATGTTAATCCTGATGTACCCCCAGTAGCCCAGCCAGTCAGACGTACTCCATTCAGCCTCCGTGACAAGGTGAAGAAGAAGGTTGAGGAACTTGTAAATATGGATATTATCGAGCCAGTAGAGGGCCCAACACCATGGGTTAGTCCAGTAGTGGTGGTACCGAAACAGAATGATGAAATTCGGCTATGCGTGGACATGCGTAAGGCCAATGAAGCCATAATCAGAGAACGCTACCCCATACCTACTGTCGATGAAGTACTCCAAAGCCTGAACCAAAGCACAGTGTTTAGTAAGCTTGATTTGAAGTGGGGATATCATCAGTTGGAACTCCATCCAGATTCCCGTAGCATTACTACTTTTATCACTCACTGTGGACTGTTTCAATATAAGCGCCTAATGTTTGGAATAAGTTCAGCCCCAGAAGTATATCAGCATGTTATTCAGCTAGCACTTAGTGACTGTGAGGGAGTTGCTAACATCTCTGATGACATAATTGTACATGGGACAACTACCAAGGAGCATGACGAGAGATTAAAGCGAGTCTTGGAGAAACTGAAAGAGAAGAACTTAACTTTAAATGCAGAGAAGTGCAAGTTTCACATGACCAAGCTAGTGTTTATGGGACTCATGCTAACAACCAAGGGCATCGGTCCAACTGAAGAAAAAGTGAAAGCTATTGTCGAGGCGAGAGAGCCGCAGAATGTGTCAGAAGTTAGGAGTTTCCTGGGACTTGCTAACTACAATGCACGGTTCATCCCAGATTTTGCCACAGTAACTGAACCTTTGCGTAGACTGACAAAGAAAGGTGTCTGTTTCAAGTTTGGAGGCGAGCAGAGAAAAGCATTCAATGAGCTGAAGAGCAGATTAGCAAGTGCTGAAACCCTTGGGTATTTTAACAAAGACGCCAGGACACTAATTATAGCAGATGCAAGCCCAGTCGGTCTTGGCGCGGTACTTGTTCAAGAACAACAAGGAAGAAAGAGAGTTATCAGCTATGCCAGCAAAAGTTTGAGTGATGTGGAAAAACGGTATTCTCAGACTGAGAAAGAGGCGTTGGCAGTTGTTTGGGCATGCGAGCGTTTCCATGTGTACCTGTACGGCATTGAATTCGAACTGTACACAGATCAC